GACTTCAACTCCCAGAATTCCCCTTCTGGGAGTTGAAGTCCACTCATCTTAAAGTGGCCAAGTTTGGACAACACTGCTCTATGAAGATTTGTGACGCCAGTTCCAGCCCTTACCTTTTCTGCGTCTGTACATCCATCACCAAAGAAATGTATCCCTCAATGAGAGAAAATGAGAAAAAACGAATGTGTTCAGAATCTTCATTACCTGCCACTAAATCTTTTACTCTGGAGTAAAGAAAGAGCCAAAGACAAGCATGGTTAGGGTCCATTCAGCTTACACAAAGTCTACTAGATATGGACTGAGGCTGTCAAATTACTGTTCCTAGTTAATCATGGTTTGGAGATATATTCATAATGGATTTATGGGTTCTTCCTCTGAGCAGTAGAAAGTCGAAAGGAGTTTTTCTAAACATCACTTCTCAAATTGTGGGTCTAGACCCGCCACTGGGTTTCAGCATTGCCTATAAGGGCCCTGAAACCTATCTGTTCCTAGACAGCAGTTGAGAGAAGACGTTCTAGGCAAATGGCCTGGAGGTGTGATCTTTTCAATAATAAAAATACATTATTCTTTTCTTGAAGTTAAAAGTTCCCTCACAAAAGTAAATGATGTTGTCTTTCAGTGATAATTATTTGGTGCTCCAGCCTTCTTCAAAGTAACTGCCATTTAGGGATTTTCAGCCTTTTGTAATACATCCAAGGGATAGGAAGTTTGAGAACCTATTTTCTAGATCATGTTCCCTTGGAGTTGAAGAAGACATGGCATATGCAAAATAGCTCCCTAGAATCTCAGGATGGATACATGGCTAGTGTATTGCAACCCTACATGAAAAACAATCAAATCTAGCTGTAACTTCCCTCTGAATGGGTTGGATAACAACACTTGCTGGCTGGGGATGACCAGAGCTGTAGTCCATGACATCTGGAGGCACTGGGCTAAGGAAGGCTGGTCTAGTTTGAGGACACATTTATTGAGGAAAGATCTACCCTCATCCCACTGTTATGAGAAATATTCATAATCTGATTAAAATAAGCACATTTAGAAGAGAAAAGAAGATCCCCTAGTTGGAACATACCCATTGGAGTAAAACATGACATCCATAAGGAGTGTAGCAACAGAGGGAAGGGTATCAGGGTCCAAGCTGGTGACACAGAACATGTTACTCGGACTGGAAAGGGGGTGGATGACAGGCCTCTGAACTGGAAGAGAGGGAGACCGACAGCAAAGTCTAAGGTTTCATTCTTAATGAAAGGATAAAACTGCAGCACGGATCCCACCATTTCTAGCAGCAAAAAGATGAAAACATCTACAGTCAAAACAATGCCAACTTTTTTTAGAGAGAGAAAATTAGCATGACAGGGAGAGCCTTTTCTTGGCATGCTAGTTTTCTACATGCAAGGAACATGGAATATTCAACCATCCCCACATCCTGGGTTGCAGACCAATGGCAGATCTATACAGTCTAGTGTATCTAGGGTTCCACTGCAGCGGATCTCCTTCCTGCTTTCCAAGTGTATGGGTTGAGAAACAGATCTGTCCTTGAAAAACCCTGTACAGGTATACCAACTGTTCCACCATCATTGCTATTGATAGTAGTAACCAAAAAAGAAGCATGTTGGGGAACGTTCATGATTTGCAGAATCCGCTGTTCACCCATTTCCTTGACATGACCAACATCAGGAAAACAAATGCATTAGTTCCAGAATGGGAATGTGAATTGTCCTTGCCTTTGGAGGCGAGAGAAAGGAAAAGAGAAACTCTTTTCTAAGAAAGAAACTAAGCTAAGAAGCTCTTAAAAGGTAGCTGAAAAGTGGGACAGGAATGGAAAAAAAAACATTGCTCTGGTAAACCTCTAGGCCTAGATCTATATTCAAGGCTGGAATGACACAGGCTGAATTTCACTGAGGGAAGATGCTGAAAAGCAACGATTCTTAGACACTTATCAGTGCTTTTGAAACATACCAACATCCCCACAGAGTAGGAGCAATCAGCTTCTATCAGTTGGATGAAAAAAGAAGCATTGACCCTGAAGTGGGACAATTGAAGAAGGCAAGGAAGTCCTTACCCAGTTTTGGTTTCATAAATCCATTGGTTATCCCAAGGTTATCGGCTGCCACGGTCTCCCCATTCACGACCCTGAGGATGGTGAACTCAGAAGCCAGGGTGTGCATGACAAAGGCCAGGTCCCTCTCGCGTACCTGGGGAAAAAACAAATTAAATCTCCTTAGGAGAATGAACACCTGGTCAGCTTTCAGGAATTTAACTCTTCATCAGTGGAATCCATTAATCTGGGGTAGAAGGCTGGGAGCTCTTGTAGATCACAAACATTTGCATTTGGTGTGTGAAAGCCATCAACAGATTGGGCTGTGGTGGCCATGTTTGTATTACCAGGTCACTGCCCTGTTTCTGTCTTTGCTTCACTACAGATGGGTTGAGATAACATGCTGAATTATTAGCCCTGGTTTTAAAAAAATACAATTGCAGCCTTCACGTAATATGCTACACCTGAATAACCACAAATGTTGTATGATGCCCTCAACAGGATGGCTTGGTTCAAATATCACTGAAAGACAAAAGAACCACATACAACCCAATTCCACTGTAATACAGACTAATATGTTGTGTTTGGGCCTCTTGAAATGTTCGACTGACTAGGTAAGATTTCTGAACTATTCAGAATTCTGAACTACTCACAAATGACAATTAGGTAGGCTTCTCTGTAAAGCATTTCATGTTCCTTATTCACAATCACTTCACAACCAAACCTTTCCTGTATTACTGGAAACTCTTTAAACCTGCTGAGCGTTCCAATTTTGCAACTGGTTGATGAATATTGATTGTTAAGCAAGACGCCTGTTGAATATACACATGATCACAACCTGCCACAAAACATTGCAGGACAAAATGCTGTCGGTCAGGATCCCTTCTTCCTAGTATTCCATTTCCAACCCCTATTCCTAACCCACAACAGGCAGATACTCTATCTCCACCAAACGTTTTATTACACTTTGTTACAGGTAGTCCTCATTTAGCAACTGCCTCATTTAGCAGCTGTTCACAGTTACAGTGGTGATGAAAAAGTAACTTTACAACCATTCCTCACATTTACGATCTTCGCAGATCTGTAAAGCAAAGGAAAGCTGAAGTAAGACTGTAAGCACAGTCGCAGTTTCACGTAGTGACTGCTTCGCTTAATGACCACGTTGCTTAAAGAAGACTACCTATTTTCAAAAAGCATTCAGCATTCAATTCTTCTTGAATACTTTTGGATCCTTGCTCTGCATAAGTGATTTACAACTATCAGCATTTGTTGCTGGGAAATAGAGGGAATGCTTCAGGTATCTGTTTCAGTGTTTCATCTTTTTTTTAATTAAAGAACGTTTTTTAAAAGGCATTAAAAAATCTGAAGCAGCAGCAGTACAGACATGCTTTTATAGATACATGTGTGCAAAAGACAAGATGCATTGCTCCACTTACTCAGAGAAGTTGAGAAAAGTCTGAAGGATGAGAATGTGAGATTCTAAACTTTTAACCAACAATCAAAGATTGGCAGATGATTTCAAAATATGGGCAGTAATTAATATGGGGTGAGATGGTTGTGGTTGAACTGCTATCCTTGATAATTAGGGAGAAATGCATAGTATGGTCTTCTGAGCCCAGAAGTTTGGTTCAGCTTGGTTCAAGAGAAGCAAACTGGAGTGTCAAAGCTAACTATCCACATTGCAGTAATTTATCATGGATCCAAGGAAAAATCAATGGGAAAATAGCACAAGAATTTAACTTTACCCCTTCAAATGTATGTTTAACTCTTATTAGGACCTTGGTGGAAGGAATATGTCTTCTCCCAGTATTTGCTCACATCATGTTTCCTTACCAGAATAAAGTCTGTCTGATAGGTGGAGAGCATAAACACCGAGATATTCTGATTGGCTAGTGGAGCTATGACTGATTTGGCAATTTTGGTTACACCAATGGGCTGAGAGCCGGAGAAGCCACCTCCTCCTGAGACCACGTTGAGGGCCAGCCATGTTGCATCTGCTACGCTCAAGTGTTCTGATGAAGGGAGCTCTGAAATTGAAAGGTGGAAAAGCAGATATAAACACATTTTATTTATTGACTTCCAGGGATAAGAACATAAGCATTACCCTGTTGGACTGGACCCCTGGTCCATCTAGGCCAGCAGTCTGTCCTCACAGTGGCCAACCAACAGCACAAGGAAGCCCATTAGTCTCCTAGCAGATGGCCTTCAGAGGCAATCTCATTGCCATCAAGGCATTGGTGCCTATGATGTCCATAAATTGGTCCAAACCCTCTTTGAAGCCAGCCCGGGTGGTAGCCAGCACCACATCTCGTGGATGAACTGAACCACAAAACAGTAAGGATGTTCTGAAGTACAATCAACAAAGAACATTCCCAAATATTTTAAAATCAAACTACTGCTCAAGTGTGAGTGCCTTCTTGGTCCCACAAGAATAAGTTTCTTATATCTGAGCATTCAAGGAGTATTTATGCAATGTAAATCACCAAGACTACACAATAACAACTTACCATGAGACCTTCCAGAGGCCAAAAAGCAATATTTTTATCCAGTTGTGAGAAAGATCTGTATTAGTCTAGTTACACACACACGCACACAGTGGGAATCATGACCACACATGTCCTAAAGTCACAGGAAGAGCATTAAGGTAGGATCAGGATGAAGACTGATCTAAACCAGCACTATGTCATGCAATGTAGAGATGCAGCTCCAGGATTCTGATGATGAGGACAGTGATCCACAGTATTCTTAATCTTTAGCTTTTTATTACAGCAGAAGTTTTGTGAACCAGAGTTGGCAGATGTAGAGATGCAGCTCCAGGATTCTGATGATGAGGACAGTGATCCACAGTATTCTTAATCTTTAGCTTTTTATTCAATCCAAAGTTTTGTGAACCAGAGTTGGCAGAATTGTCTGGTTACAGCCAAGCCAGGAACACTTTTTTTTTTAATGCTAACCTATTTAAAGGTGATTCAAACAATTTAGCATTTAGCCTATTTCTTTTCTTTTTTGAGACTTGGGCAGCACCTAACTGGCTTTGAACTTGAGAAGCTAAGCAAGATCAGACCAATTTAGATTTAGATGGGAGACCATCAGGAGATCCCAGGATTATGAGCTAGAGTGAACAGGGAAAAAAAAAAAAATCCAAGAAGGCAGTGACAATCCACTTCCATACTTTGGCCAAAATAGCCACGTAGACATGTCCTTATAGTGAGCAGGAGCTGATTTTAACTAATGGGAGACTACAATGTTGTTCTCCATTCTGATGGATATGGATTTGCAAGGAGATTTTTTTAAAAAAAAACAAGGCCCCAAGCAAAAGCCTTCTGTAGCGTTAACATGCCTTTTTGAGTGACCACCTGCCCCCAAATCCCCCCCAAGAAGCTTTAGATTACATCCTCTCCCTTTACCCCGTATCATCATTATACCCATGTATGGTTTAAAGGCCACATATATTGTGCTGTGATGACAAAGAGTTTGCTCACTCTTGGCAGACAATCGTAAAAGCCCGGTTTAACAAAATGACACTGTTAGCACGCTATCCTTCCAAACACAACACAACCGTGAGAAGCCACAAAGCTGTGTTACAACGAAGCAAAGTGCGGCCGATAAAAATGAGAAAATAATGTAATGTCAAGCTTTCTTAAAGAAAATATTCCAAAAGAAGGTGCTGTTGCATTCCCACCTTGGCTGTGGAGGAACAGCTGAGGGGGGAGGGAGAATGCCACCCCCTTTCTCTCACTCCCGTGCAGTTGCTTTACTTGTAGGAGATTCCTAGTCACCAAGGCCAGCAGGCAAGTTGTTAAATGAAAGGATAATCCAGAATGTTGGGGGGTGAAGGTGACAGAAAATGGGACACAATTAGGAAATTGGGAATGCTAAAGTATCTGATTGCGTGATGCCATTGCAGAATATTTGCAAGCCTGGTTATTAGTCTAACACAGTGTTTTTCAACCTTGCAACTTTAAGATGTGTGGACTTCAACTCTCAGAATTCCCCAGCCAGCACGGCCGGCTCGGGGATTTTTGGGGGTTTAATCCACACATCTTTAAATTTCCAAGATTTAGGAACAAATGCTTAAACAAATCCCAGCAGCCGCAAGGGTGTAT